AGGATGCATCACGCCCGTGTTATTATACGCTGCGGTTTCTACGTGTTACAGGAGTAATGCATTTTTCATCGTGATGGCTCTGAACCCCAGTGTGTTGGGTTTGAAATGAAACACCACTGTGTGGTTTAAAGTGCTGACTTTTAGCGTTAATTGTGCATTTAAATGCAAATCAATTCAATAAAGAACTGTAGCTAATTGGAAAATATATAGAGGACACTATTCTAAAGAACCAGAAGAAACTGAACCAATAAACAAACTTGACGGTTTTGTGAGCAGCCGACACTTTAAAACATGAATATGGAAAAAATTGAGTTATTACAGAAACTATTTTTCTGTATATTCAGAGCTTTGATGGACAACATGTTCCCAAAAGTGAAACCAAAACATCAGCCCCTGGTGGCTGGCTGCAGTATGGGTCATAAACCTCGCCTCCTCTACGTTAACAGATGGGACATGGACCAAACCAACTAAATCTAGTGCAAAGTACAAATCAAATTAATTTAGTTTCTGTAATTTGAGGTGGTTGTTAGAATAACTGGCCTTTTTCTATCATTTTGTGAGAAACCACGATCCGACTTTAAGCTGCAAACAGTCTGGGAATACCAGAGTCCTTCATCTAGAATCCTACAAATGACCAATGTCTTGTTTTGTAGCTGATATATATAATAAAAGTCAATGTAAATGCATTTAAAGTGAAGCTGCAACAATAGAAAGAGCCCATGAAGGATATTCTGATGACAATAAATATGATATGAAGGCAGATATCTGTGAACTCTTCCTTGGAATGTCGTCGTTGTATTTAAATACTGTATTTATATTAACAATATTACGTTTGTCGTGGCTCATAGACTCGTTCACCATCGCGTTCACCTCATCTGGTGATTGAAAGCAACGTTTCTTTCGACGGGAAATCTTTGCCAGGGTCCTCCTTTAATATGAAACTGAACCAGCTGACTCCTGAGGAGCCTTTTCATGCTGCATGACACATGATGGGCTGGCTCCACATGACCCTGGCAGCTTGTGTGCAAGTAAACCGTTATATAACAATGGCCGTGCGGCCTCTGTGTGGCCAATGGCCAGAGCGCCATGCTAACAGCACAGTGTCTTCAGAGGGCCCTTCAGCGTGCTAACAGGGTTGGATTTGTTTATCGGGGCCCTGGCAGGTTGGATGTCCAGCAGTTCTCCTGCTTTGTGGAGTGTCACTGTCAAATTACATTTATAAATAGATTTTGCCTCAACGCTGGCACCACCCCATCACCGAGTCCTTGAGTGCTGGCTGGAATCTGCCATCTGTCTGAAAGCGTCAGGGAGTTCTGCCTGAGCGGAGACGACACAGAAGATGTTGCCTGCGTCCCGTGGAAATGACTGAGGGGGATTTGTGTAGCGGTCGACGAACTCAAAGTGGATTTTAAAACTATAGAACAGTATATATATTATATATACTATATATATTTTGGCCTTTAGATGAAGAGATTAGTTTGATCTTTTTCATTGAGGCCTGATTGTTTTAGGTTAAACAGGATCTATGGGCTCTGTTGTGGATCTTTATGTTAGTTCAGCAGGTGTCGGTGGATTTAATCTCTAGAATTTCTACATTATTTAAATTTCCTGCCAGCTATTTATGGCCGTTGCACTTGGTTTTGAACTTCTTGTTGCTCCCTTTTTGCTTTGGCAGTGTAATTGCTTTGTTTCTGTAAAAATAACAGGTCATTTCTATCAGACAAACATTTCTACAGGACCAAAAAAGGAGAGAGTTCAGACTCTGGGTTTATTTTTGGCCTCGTGGGCTGGTGAGGTAGCAGTCATTATCATACTAATACATTTTTCCGTACCTTAAAATGTGGATTTCCCTGCCGCGGATAGAAGCTAATGGCTTTTGGGTTGTGACTTTTATCCTTTTCTTTGTCAAATTCAGTCATTGTTCATCCAAAGCTTCCGTTAGGATTCATCGGTCACGCTCACAGAGAGATATTAGTTAGGATCCAGGCCTGGCTGCCACAGAAAGGTCAGGAGATTTGTCTCTTCCTCAAGCCCATTCTCTCTGCTGAGGTTTCCGAGGAACGGGTGAGCTGCGATGTTAAAGCCCGACCACAGCCTCCACTCCATCACGGCAGACATCTCAATCCGTTTCCACCGCTCGCCTTTTACACCACGTTTACAGCAGCACAGGTTTTCAATACTGATCAGTCACTGCTCCTTAGCCCTTCATTCATCACTACCTCCTTCCTGCTATTTTCTCCTTCCTCCTCATCCTTTTCTCTTTAACTCATACAGCCACCTGCCCTCGCTCCCCTCTCTCCTACACTCCACCCTGCAAAGCTTCTTCCTCTCCCACCAGTAGCAGACCAGTCCATCTATCTCTGCCATGATTTTACCCTCACCTCTTTTCCCCTCGCCCTCCCTCCTTCATTTTCATTATTTGCTTAATGGCTGAATGCGGCCGGATGCTGGTAATCTGGCGCTCTGATTGCATAGGACATGCATGAATGATACCCAACCTTGTTCCCAATATCCCCTCGCTTTGAGTCACGACTTTAATCATTACTAATGGAGGGTGATGAATACCAGGAACCAGTTGAGTGTTTCGTGAATTGCCCCGAGCTGGAACCACCGGGGGCTTTGAGGGAGAAAGTGAATTTCCTTGTTTGTCTCCAAGGTGACATCAAGAGTTGGTTTAAAGTAAAACCTACGGGCTGGTCTGTGTATTTACTGGTACATGAATATTTTATTACCTCCACCACGTACGTTGTTTTCACCACTGTCTGTCTGTTGGTTGGTCTGTCAGCAGCTTTACCCCCCAAAAAAATATTATACACAAATGGGACAGAATCCATTCGATGTTGATGCAGATCCAGGGATCGTTGATTTCTGGATCTTGATTAAAAAAACGACAGGCGTATTTTGTCCTCTGATCTGGATCCAGGTTGAATTTTAGAATTTTGAGTGTTTACACCATTTGTTCGTTTGATTTCTCACGGAATAATTTATGAACCTTGATGAAACAAATCTGACATGTTTGGGGAACAGATATTTTTGAGTGTGCGCAATTTGGGGCAGCTTGATTGAGGCCTTGGTGGAGGTACTGTATGTCAAGTGCCATTGTAGTTAGTTTGCTTATTGATTGGTTGATTTGTTTGTTAGCAGGAGTATGCATAACATACTAAACTGATTTCCTCAAAAGTGGTGAAGGCATGAGGCCTGGATTTAGTTTGTTTTCACCCCTCTACGTTGTTGTTTGTGAGGTTAGGTAAAAACTATTGTTTGGATTTCCCAGGGAATAATCAGGGATATTTAAGGGACCGGTTTCTATACATGTGTGTACTTTGCTGCAGCTTGATTGAATTTAATGGCGGTGTACATTTTGTATGAATGACCCTTCATACGCAGTCAAATAAGAATACAAACAGCAAGAGTCAGAGCTCAAAGTCAGACCTACCGACGATAAACTCCATCACTTACTTGACCTGAACAATGGTTTGGGGTCCAAAGTTGTTAGTCCATGTTAAAAAAAAAAACTGTACAACTGTTTGGATAACAGCTGAACTGAACTGGATTCAGCAGCATCAACTCTTGCATGAGCGCATTCAAAGCAATAAATAAAGCTGTTGTCTCTTTGCCTGTGGCTCTGGCATCAAATAATTCCTTGCCACTGTGCAGTTTATCTGAGATGAACATCTCGATATTCTCCTCGCCATGCTGCTGTCTTCACCGCCTCAGCTGCCTCCTTCCTCCTCTGCTTAGTGATTAGCAGTTTAAAATATACCATTGTGCGAAGTTTACCCATTTTACAGCTCCCTAAACAGAATCACTCAGACGTATGGGTGATTAAAACCAGACTGACAGATGTGTAGTGGAAAAAAAGTGCAGGAGCCCCGGCTCTCCATTAGTTTAATTAAATTACCTTAATCTGATAGAGGCTATTTCAAGTCATCACCCAATTATATGCTCTTTTTGTTGGTGGCCCCGAGCGCTGGAGTGTATTTTTATTTATTGCCTCCTTTCACCCTCACACACACACACACACACACAGAAATTTCAGTTCCATCTGGAGTGACACAAGCAACCTTTCAAAATCATATGCATTCATTTTTAATTAAAGTCTAAACTTGGGTGTTTTGCTGCAGAATATTTTACATTCTTCAGGGACCCTGCAGAGTTCAGTGTTTAATTCATTTCTCATCACTCAACCTTGAGATTGCTTCACATACACATTGTTTCTATACCTGAACTTCTCTGAATGCTTTTACTTTTCTGAAGTTAATGGATTTCTACAAGGTTCACTGAACACAATATCACCTTTTTGTACATTAACGATCTGCGGTCATGTTTGTAGATAATACACATTATCTGCCTGATGCATTCACAATTGTGATTTTTAATGGTCTGATTGAGGAACAGATTTAACCTCCAGGAGAGAAACAAGCACGGGTCGCACCAGCTATTAATTAATCCTTTGCTTAGTCTGTGTGCAGTTTCAAACTGGCTATTTAACAAATGAGGCTCCACAATTAAAACTCAAAAGACAGAGGTATGAGCCCTGTAGCGGCCGCAGGTTTGATTCCGACCCTGTGCTGCGTAGCGTGTGCCACCACTCCACCAAATTTCCTGCTAACAAATAAAAAACAAATGCAGATGAAAACCTAATGTAACCAGCTAATCTCTGCGTAACTAGTTTAGGTCGTGCAACCCATATTAAGCTAAGTACATTTCCACTCACTAATGGCTTCAATTATACTTAAGCTAATAACTTTGCTACTGCAACTGACTCCTGGTTTCCACATTAACTGCATAATTTGAGGGATGTTGGTGAAATCAATGTCTCCGCAATATTCACACATGTTTAACGAAAACTTCAAATCATGTATTTTGACAGAAATGTTCAATGAATATAGAAAAATATATTATAAATAATTACTGAAAATCCACTGAAAGCTTTTTCAACAATCGGCTGCTCTGAGTTTCACACCACGAACGACTGCAGAGAAAATACACACAACGAACGGACTTCAATACATTTAATTGTTAGTTGATTCATTGCACATTTGCTCAAGTGCAGTCATACTCAATGTAAAGCTTTAAAAAATACAATCTCAGTCATCTCTGTCGTGATTCTGAGTGATTCTGTGTTGATTTCTTTTTCCAAAATAAAATACAGTATATGACAGATAAACCCTCTGGTTAGAGTCGTGTTCTTTGATAAATATGTAAAGTAAACACTGAGAAACAGGGCAGCATCACTGGTCAATGTCAAAGATACTTTCATTCATATTTAGGTAGTGTAACCTTCGACATAATACACTTACATTTCCCTTTGTCTGTGTAAACACGATTGTGTCATAGTTGTTTTTTGTTGCACTGTACTTCTCTTTAGAGGAGAATCAAACATTAGCATGAATGACCACGTTTCTGTTGGCACCTGAATTTTCATAAACACAGACATTGTCCTTCACCCTCCCTTTCAGGAAAATCTCACCAGCTTCAAAATAAATACCTTTTTTTTCTCAAATTAAAAAAATAGTTTGGATCATCAACTGTACACCATACCAAAAACAATGTGCTTTCCCCCCCAACTAGTGTATAGTGCTGAGTTCCACGTGCCCTCCGACGGCTGTAGTTACAGTGTGCCTATCTCCCTTTTTTGTTTTTGAAGTGGGTGGCGGTCACAGGTTGCAAATCATGGAGGCCTCTCTCCGTGAAACCTTCGGTGTCGGGACCTGCCGTTCTTTTCCTTGGCTATGTTGATGCAGGCGTTGTGCTTGTTGCTCTGCAAGTGGTTCCAGTACTTGATGAGTTCGCTGGGTTGGAACTGATGTGACGTGATCAGGTGGCTGTACTTACAACTGGAGTAAGACACCCGCCAGTGGTTGAAGAGGAACTCATTGGGTGGGGGTACCGGGTCGATGCGCAGCTTCGCCAAGCAGATCCCCACGTAAACATCCTCCAAGTGCAGCCTGCGTATGCCGAGAGAGGCCTGGTAGATCAGCTCGGCCATGTCCCCTGAGAACACATACCCCGTGCCCGAGCAGAATATCGGGTAGCGCTCGCTTGGGTAAAGCTCCGGCGCCATGTACCACTTGCTGTCCTTGTTTCTGTTTGGTGCATAACCTCTCATCAGGTAGCCGGTGAAGAACCGAGGCTTGGGAGGCAGCTCAGGCTTCAGCAGCTTCTGGATGAGATACTCGGTGTTGACAAACATGTCGCTGTCTGTCTTCATCACGTAGTTGGCATGTGGGCAGTAGGTGGCCACCCAGTTCATGCCCATCAGGGTTTTGATGGTCAGGTTGTAGTAAGTGTCCTGGTAGTCCTGCTGAATGATGTCATGGTGAACAAGGCTCTCCTCCTCTATGCTGCTCTGAAGGAAGGTGTCAGAGCTCTTTCCGACCCCGAGCAGAAAAAGACGGACAAAGCCCAGGCCCATTGCTACACTCTCATTCCCCCACGTCACACGGATTGCATTTCGGGCATCGGCCTGGCCGGGCTCTGCAGCAATGAGGAGTATGAGGAAGGGCGTGGTGTCCCTACACTTGAAGGGCTCATTCAGGATGTAGCGGTAGGGCTGAGCACTGAGTCTCCCTCCCACACCCATCTCCTTCTGTAAACTGTTGTTAGTGCTCATAGTGTCCCCCAGCCCCATTACACCCATCCTGCCTCCACCTCCACCGGCCTCTCCTGCCACCCCCTCCATTTGCTGAGTACTGAGGTTGAGCAGAGGCTTTGGCGCTGCATATCCCGCATCCTTCCACAGGCTCCTCAGGGAGCTGCTCTGGTTGGCGTCTCCCTTGGGGCTGCGGAGAGCCTTAAAACTATTACTGAGTGGGTTTTCCCGGAGCCCACTGCGACCCGGCAGCCAGTCCTGGTGGCTGAAAAATAAGAAGAAGGTGAAGAGCAGAGCCAGCGACAGGAGGCCCGTCACGTGGGTCCGAAAGACTGAACGCTTGATGGTCCAGGTCATCTTGATGGGACAGCAGTGCCGCCGTCTCCACTGCATGGTGCAGGTCGGGGTCGCAGGAGGCTGCTGCTGCTCAAGTATGGGCGGCGGCGGTCACACACAGTCACCTCAAACATGTGGTTGCCAACGATCAGAGGGCTATCTGAGCTGGCAGATGGGTTGGAGTGAGCCTCCTGGTGGAGAACGATGAGTCCACCAGTGCAGCTTGGAGCACGTTAAAAGGGCCCCCTGGTGGAGCTAGGAAGGCGATGATTCCCTGGCCAAAGAGGCTTCTCCCTGGCACTTCTTTGGCGCTGTAGACACACACGGGGTCATGCTCTGTGTCTTGTCTCCTTCAGGATATGATAAGGGTTGCCTCCTTTGTGTTTACGCTCTCTAATCTGAAAAGAGAGAAAAGAAACAATAAATAGTCTTGGCAGTTCTCCAAGAAGCAGCTCCCATTCAAGGGCACAGAGTCAAATGTCAATTGTCTGAATTGCAGATGTATTTATTATTTTTGGCTTGAGGGAAAAACTGAGCTTGTTTATTTATCATTGTATTTATGGTTTGTTATGCAACACACAGAATAATTCTGATTTAATTCCCTGCTAGATGCAAAATTACAGGTTACTGTGGATTCGGAGCCTGCGATGGAGAAATGATTCTTTTCGTAAGCTGACTTAACATTTTGAAAGAGAGAAGCTGAACCAATATGACAGCGTCGTAGCATCTTTGATTGGACAGGGATGTAGGAGCGCAGCAGGCTGTGGGGATGTGGCTTCCCGGGGAAAGAAAATGGGAAATGGAGAGAATATTGTTGCATTGGCAGAAGGGAACACTGCTGCTGCAAAGATTTCTGCATATGTGGTGCATTTGTAAAGGAACAACCAGATGTTGAGACACAGTACAAAACACATTTTCAGAATAATTCAGCGCTGCAGTAAACACGAATGACTCCCGAGCACATTTTCCTTTTCACAAATGTTTCAAAAAAACAAAAATAAGACCATTTCCAAGATCACCATAACCTCATCCCACAGTTACAACCATCTGACAAGAAAGTGAGGAATAGACAGGAAACTATAAAATGTCTTTGTGGAGACTGAGCTTGCTCTGGCATGTTCGTAGTTGCCTCTTGCATTCCATTATTCAGCTTAATGCCAAGGGGCAGATTTATGAATTGCTGGTTTGCTCAACGTGGTGCCAGCTAACACTACACTGAGCTGCTTCGGCGAGCGAGTGTCATCAGCCCCCCACCACGCGACGACAGCCAGGGAAGAGATGAATCTGTCAAAATGAGTTTTCAGGGTCCAGCAGGCAGCGGTTCCGAGGCCTGTGCCACTCTCCGACGATAACAGCCTCTACCCGATATTCTCCTCGCACCTTCAGCTTATCTATGCTGCCTACTGTCTGGCTGTGGCCACCCAGGCTGCTCCATCTTCTATCTAGAACAAACAAGGAAACATGCACATAAATGTACAAATGCAAACAAAACACAGATGCAGCTGCACTGACAAAATGTGATATGTAAGATTGCATCTGCTGCCCTCAGGGAGTTATCCACCAAGGAAGGCACAAAGGCGATCATGTAAGCACACACTGATTCTTAAACTCACCAAACGAGTCGTCTCCACAAGCACAGAATTTATTGTGCACCCGCACATAATCACACGCACACCAAATACTGCACACAGTCGTTTCCGTGCTCCCAAAAAACACACAATAACCCTAAATCTAATTCAGACCAGACTTAATGATATAAACAGCAAACACACTGCACACACAATCACTAATAGAGTGCGTGGACTCACAAAGGATGCGTGTGCACTCGACACATAATTACACCCACACTAGATACACACATCATTATCACTGTGTATAATTTGCACACACACACACACGTCACCAGAGAAAACAGAATATGCCAGCAGAAACTTGCAGGTTGAGCTCGACTCTAGTGAATATTAATGCAGCAGCAGTGTGTGAATCTGGAATCCATTCCTTCCGTCCTGAGTGTATTAATTTATGGTCTGCCTGCGTTGCCATTTTGTTTATTTGTGTGCTTGCGTCGTAATAATTTGAAGACAGGGAACAACGGAGCGTTATTTTGTGCAAATGCTACATGTCAGCTCAGCGTGCGGCAGATTTTCTAAACTTCCAATTTTCATTTCCTGCTATGTTTGCTCATTCGTCATGACAACTGGCAGGGAACACGATAACCTTTTCAGGCGAGTGAGCTTACCCAGCGCAAGCAATTACAGGAGAATGAGAGGGGCCAGGGCCGGCTTTGTTTTAAAGGTTAACATACTTTACATCGAAGCATATCCAGCGCTTGAGAGATTTCTCCTGTCAACTGAATGAACATCTAGTTACATCTGAGCTCTGATGAAGTGTACACACACACAGGGGGCTACACATACACATGAATACAAATGTACACAGACAAACACACACATGGATGGATGCCCACACATGACCATCCACCCGCCCACACACACACACACACACACACGTAGACGACCGTGAATGGTGGAGTGTGCGACTTTGTTTTCTTGTTTTCGATGTAAATGCCAGCAGCTCCACTGAGAGACCAGGCATCCATTTTTACTTTTTAGCAGTTCTGTTTAATCTGCCAATGCCTCTCCTCATTAATTCATTTTCTTGCCTCCCATCAATGTCACTTCTGTGCGAGCCAATTAGTTACACTAGCACTAATTAAAGCCCCTGCAATTCTGCAGCGGTCAATAATTAGAACGAACGCTGGGAGAGTGACACAGCGGTGAAATACTAGGCATGCATTATAGCCTCGTCTCTGTCACCACATCTGCTTCGATCCCAGAGGGAAGAAACAAAACACGATAAAAAAAGAAAAGTACTTTCTACGTCCAGGTGTGCACGTCTTCACAGGGAGCGTTGTGTTACTACGCCTACACAAACGGTCTGGTCTTTTTACCCCTCTGCAAAGTGTTTAACAAATGCAAAACCAGCATCGCCTTTGTCGATAAGGACGTGATCTTCGGAACGGTTGACTTTAGGAAAATGTGTCGCTATCACAAAGTAATGCAGCGGTATGGTTGGATCTTTTTCACTGAGTCACACCGAAGAGTCTGCTTAGCCTGAACTCTGCATTTTTAAGTAATCAGTAATCAACACAGCCGTCGTCGGAAAATGTGAAAGTCCCACAGCACTCGAAATGTTATGAAACAGAAGTCATGGACGTTGCAGCTCAATAAGAATAATCGGTTCTTATGAATCTTGCAACTTTACAACGTGCTTCCGAGCATTTGTCAAATGTCAAAACTAATGAGAAAATGTTTTTCATTCATAATATTTAATGTTTTTCCCGGAATAACAGAATAAGTAACTGCAAACGCTTGTATTTCAGAGGATGGACGCAGCATTTATACTTGGAAAGGGACAGTTTATTGATAGGTTATCAAACCTCTGTCCAGGCTGACGCTCTATATTCCTGAATCTGCTCATTAATCCAGATCTTCCATGTTTATTCCATGTGTCTTTAAATCTGAATCAAAATATGCACCGATGCTCTTTCTCCACAACACTTCAGATTGTCTTTTGACTCAATGACAACTTAAAGTGTAAGAAGTTCTCATGAAAAACTCTATACTTCTGTTTTAGATGTCAGTACTCACCAAAGTTTTTAATTTGACGGAGCGAGTTTACGTTTGTAATCCAAAGGAAAAGCACTTGTTGCTGGGAAGAGTCACAAGCTTCAAACTGGTCAAGTTTGTTTCTTTGATGACATTAAAATAACTTCACTGAGCAACGAGGAAAACCTGTGAGACAATGCCATCGTTCTTAAACAGCTCCGCCCCTGTTTGTCTACTGCACTGACTCGGCAAGATACACCTGAAGTGGTTTCATTGAGGCTCGGTGAGTAACGAGTTAGGTATTTCATTTTAATAAGCGTCACACTCGGTTTGTGAGTTCACAGCTCGACTCTCAGTGCTGTTGTGTTCTCGTTGTACTGGTTACTCTCTCTCTCTCTCTCCCTCTCTCCATTTGATTGACTGCAAGTTATTTGACCAGCTGGTTGTTCATATTCTTATTTACAGACTCAAGGATTTTCAGATTTCTGGGGAAATTAATTGTGTTATTAATGTGTTTTTGTGTTAATTTCAAAAGATTTTAAACTGTCTGTGCATTAACACAACAATAACAATATTTTAAACTGAACACTATTAAAATACTTTGTCATACAGTTGAATTGACTGTGTTGTTGGTTGGTTCGGTGCATTACTGTTAATGACAGAACAAATTACAGCCATTTAACCTTTTACAACTTCTTTAACTTTATGATATTTCAGCATAAAGTAACTTTAACTGTAACTTCTGTTTAATGTGCATTTTAGTTATGATTTAGTTTCTGTTTTAAACATTTATCTATAAATTTGAGCTTTTTTTAACCACTGAACCAACCACCATCATTTTCTTGCCTTATCTGTTTTTTGAGTTTCTGCTCTCTCTTCTCATCCTCTGCTATGTTTAGTGATGCAGATGGTTTTATCTGCTGGGGCTTTGAAAGATCTCACTTTCAGATGTATGCCAGAAATCCTATACAAATAGAACCGGGAGCAATTGGAGGTATTGAAATTATCGAAAACATTCTACGTTGTGAGGAAATTACCAAATGTCATAAGTGTCTCTGCTGCTGTGGATAATCCCCAGTGTGTTTGGTTTTCACTCGAGCAAACTCGCTGTGAGAAACAGTCAGAAAGACAGAAATGTCTTTTGGGGGTTTTGAGTAAAGTGACCTTTTGAAAATATTTGGTATATAAGTGACTAAACTAGGATAGAACCAGTGGGATAGAACCAGTGGGATTGGACCAGTGGGATTGGACCAGTGGGATTGGACCAGTGGGAAGGGTGGTTGTATTCTTGCTAAAAGCTTCAGGGCAGATGAGTGACACTGGACGACAGCTGTTTTTTCGCTCTTTATCACGATATGCAAATCTGGGCCAGGCCACTGGAGCCGCCCCTCCCACTTGCACAGCGTGACCATATCGGATCCTCGAAGGGTTAGTTCACCCAAATCTCAAAAACAAGTGGTGGTGTCTGGCTGCGGAGACGGTTGAGTTTTATTTACCCTTGACGAAAATATCTCTGGGAGGTGCTGCCGCCCTGCAATACAAAGAAGGGAGGAGGTTTCTTCAGAATAAGAGCTTTGTCCTCAAGGGCAGTTCTCATTCAATTTTTTAGAGCTGAAATGATTCATTAATGATCAGTAACCTGATCGATGAGTATTCCACCGGTTCAGATTCCACATTGACTGTGTTTTGCTGTTTGCTTTGTCTCGTGTGACAGAAAAATGGAGAAAAATATCTGGAAACAAGGAATTTGAAGATGCCATCTTGGATTTTAGTGAAGTGTAATGTAATTGTTCATCTGTCATTTTAAAGAACTGAACAATTACTCAGTGTAATTGATAACCACTGTAAAAGTTCCAGCCCTAAATGCTCACAACATCAGGCCATTGCCATATTATTAATGTGGTGGCACAGATCTCAGGCCAACATCAAAACTTTGCAGTTGTATTTCCGTTGGAACTAACCCTTTAAGCCTGAAGATATGATCTGGACACGGGGAGCAACATCTGAAACCATTTGTTCTGTAACAAATGACCGAGCAGCCTCTCGAAACTCTAAACACACAGGAGACAACAGGGAAATAAAGCTTCTGCAGCTCCGAGCCACTGTCGCTGTTATAAACATAATGTGAGTTTTTTTTTTCTTCCTCATAATGCAGCAGCTAACTTTTACCACTAAAATGTATATAAGACTAAGCAGTATTTCTGTTTTACTTCATTAAAAGCGCCCGGGCTGCATTCTCCATTCTCCCTGCAGCCGCTCTCGCTGTCGGTTCAGATGCCACAGCTATAAATTATGAGGTGGTTTGAAAATTAGACCCTATTAAAGTTTCATAGTCTGGTGGGCAGAGTGAACACCCAGATGGTGAGCTTAGCTGCTTTTTTTTTTTTTAATGTCCATCTCAGCAGTTAACAGATATCCCTAAGCATGCAGGGGGGGGGGTCAGTGCCAAGTCGCTCAGGCAGCTGTACGTGATGAAGTGGATAAGAAGTAGCCCTGTTAATTGAACCGAATCGATGGCCTCGCCTCGTGACAGCTCCAAGTGGTGGGGGATCCCTAAACTTGAATCTATGGGATCTAACACAGATTGGACCGTCCCCAGGATTGTGTGACGGGAGGAAGAACAACTCATCAACATTCATCTTCAGAGGTTTAGAGAAATCAAAAGTGTCTTGAACATCTGCCCGAGGGGCCCCTGTGTCACCTCAAGGAGCCACTTGGTCCAAAAAGGGTGCCTGGTGATGGGGAGGGGGGGATGCAGGTTGCAGGATGCAGAGGGGAGGGGGTGGGGTGGGGAAGAAGGTATCATGAATGGGGGGGGGAGATGTAATGGATTGGAGATGAGGGCGGGGAAGGCTAAATGAATAATGAGGATGTGGGGGACTGATGAGACGTGCAGGGCTGTGTACCTCCTCCTCCTCCTCATGCTGCTGCTGCTGCTGCGGCTGCTGACGGGGATGCGGTCGGTTGATGGAGTGACTGAACCCTGGTGCCTTCACCCGCCATCCCCGCCTCCATGGCTCGGAAGCAACGCGGGTTTCAAACGCTTAATCCGCCTTCCCCCCCCCCACGCCACCACCACACACCCACCCGCCCCACTGCCTCGCTCCTTTCCCCCTAAATCACACCGGGATGCGTCCTCATCCCCCGCGGGCTCCACAAACCTGCGGAGCTGCGAGCCTCTCCTCCTCTCCCGGTCCTCGTGTCGGTTCTACGCCGCAGCTCCTCACTTCTTATTTTAAAAAATAAAAATAAAATAGTCTTGCTTCCCCTTCGCTGCTGCAGGAGATGGAAGGGAAAAAACAGAATAACCAAAAAAATAAAATAAAATCCTCTCGCACCTTTTGAGTCCGATCACTGCCACAGTCCTGCGGGGAAGAAAAAAAACCCCAAAGCACCAGCGGCTCGTCTCTGAGCCTTCAACCCGTCTCGCTTCTCTTCTCCCCAAATCTTCGTGCTCCTCCGCTCCTCCTCCGGACACGAGCCTTTGTCTCAGCCGGGCAAGGCAGCTGTTGTCCCGGGCAGACTGTCTGTCAGACACCGCTCCTCTGACGGAACTCCAGCACGTCACTGCATTCTTAGCGGAGCATCTCACGTGACCCAGACCGACGCTGGTGTTGCGTTTGCGGGTTGTGCGGGAGGAGATTCAACACAGACACACAAACACAGACAGACACAGACACACAAAGACACAAACACAGACAGACACTGACACACACCCTTCAATAGAATGTGTTTCCTTGCCCTACAGTATAGAAGCATATTGACAACTAAAAGAAAACACGTTCAATCCTAAAGTAAATCAGTTTGTTGTCTTTTATGTCACGACAACACATTTGATAAATCTGTTTCAGGTTATTACAACACACACACTTTTCATTTAAGAATACATTTTCAAGGCAAGATATACAGGTTCTGCCATCTTTTACTGTTGATGTGAAAAACTTCAAAACTGTTTCCGCTAATTGCTCCTTAGTTTGGAAGCAAATTGCTGCAAGAAAAATCACGTTACATTAAAACTTACGTTATTTCAACATAAACTTTTCTTGTCATCTAATTTTTCATCGTCATAACATTGGAATTTTGTTTTTACCGTAGACTGCCATTAAAGAAGATGACTCACCAGGACTTCCTCCCAAAGTGAAAAAAACTATCCCAGATACAGTTGCCGCTATCTTGCATTGCATGTAGCATGAAGCATGTTGCTGCCACAACAGAAAAATTTAAATCTCATCACGTTAAAGCTTAAAAACAACAAAGTTTGTTGTTTTCACGTCGTAACAACACACAAACGTATAATACAACTTTTTGTCCCCACGAAGAAGCGAGATCCTCTTTAAGTGACTAAAAACGATTCAGGTCCCCACAGCATAAGTAATAACACACACACACACACACACACACAGGCTAATTAAAACTTGCAGCCTGTATAATGACTGATATTAAAGCCTGATATTTGCTATTATGAGACGTATAGAGGAACATTTGATTAAATTCTGAGAAGAGAGTTATTACAATAAGTGGCAGTTGCTATATGAGGCACTGAATTGCATGACGACATGAACAAGCTTGGCCACCATGAACAAAAAAAAACATAGGTGCAAATAAAACATTTAAATCCATATCACATCTGGATATGAGATTTTTTTTGAAAAGTAAACTCATCACAAAAGGCTCCTTGTTTGAAGACATAAATCACCATTTCAAGTTTTAGTGTTCCTCCAAATAAAACAGTTATATTCACGTTTTTTTTAGGTTTTTATTGATACACAACCAGAAAACCCGAAAAAGCAAACAGCATCATTTTAAAAGTTATTGTCGAACATTATTATTAAAAGTTGCTGTTTGATTCGAAAGATAAACAGCGGTTTACTTACCATCTTCATGCCTGGAGCTCGGGGTTAAGCTTTGTGGAACCAGTTCTGCTAAAATGAACAAAATACTTCCTCTTTTCACACGAACATGCCCACACAAAGAAACGGTTGTCTCTGTTTGCTGGAGATAAATTAAAAAAAACTCGACTGGTTGCCACAGAGCCGCCGTGAACGCTCAGTTCTCTGACCGAAGAGACTATCTTTACATATTCCACGTGTGTGAACCGACTCAAAATACTTCAGTTGGTGACTCACAAATAAATGGAGTTTATTCAACTTAAAGTTAACCCAACTGCAAACTTCAATCTGAAGGTTGGAATTTTTTTTTTAAAAACCTCACAATTAATCACACACAACATAAATGTGCCTGATGTGCAATTGTGGATACGCCCCCCCTCCCACTCCACTGGCATAGTAGTGAGCAGTATTTTTTTTAACATGAAACTCATTCCTCCCACTTTTCCCACGTTCACTTGAATGCAGCATCGCTCCCTCCCTTCCCTCCTTTTCCAAAGACCACCACCCTAACACCCCCCCCCCCCCAGTGGGTGGAAATAAGGGGATCTAACTGGTGTAAGAGCCGGTGGCCAGTGGTCGTCTGGTAACAGCTGGAATCACTGTGCTCTTTGTTTATCCTGCTGGATTTCTGTGGCTCCACGGTTTCAGCTGTTCAGTAAAAATAATGAAATCCAATAATTCATTGTGCATTATTATCGTTAGAGCAGTTTCACCTTTGGACTGACGACACACAGACACAAACGACTCCCTCCCTCCATCACAGCGCGCTGATGAAACTCTACCTGCCTCATTAAGGACTCAAACACAATGCAAACCCTTCATCAGCCTTCAGTCATGTTTACACTCGTGCACCTCCAGAGACCAGAGCGTTCCTGGACGAGCGATGAAAGAAACGCTCGTCTCTTTTTCCCTCTCTCTCTCTCTCTCTTCACCTCTCTTGGTAGAAGTGGAGCAGATGGGAGTCGTGGCTCATGCTCAAGCAGCTCGCTCCGACCTCGGGGACAGGGAGCCGGTAGGGAGAGCAGCCTCTCGCTGCACCGTAAATATTGTAAGGAAGCACAGCTGACTGAATAATTAATAGGAGCCCGTGTCTTTGATAGAAACACTTTGGAGGCCATTAGCTGTACCTGGCTGGAGAGAAGCATATCTGTCAAAAGGGAAGTAATGGTAGTGATTGATTTCCCGTAGTTGTCAGGTTAGAGGCAGCACGCCTCCGAACATTAATATCACGTGGCATCTATTAGAGAGGTGACTTCCTTAACCTGCCGAGCCCGGTTGTCTCGGGGAAGGCCGGGGTATCAAAATTTAAATCGTCATCATTAATTGCCAGAGCTCGGGGAGTATCTCGGAACAACACGTCTACTTCTGCTGAAACTCAGTCTCCTGTACACACACACATGCACACACACACACACACACACACTTGTATTTACTCAGTTGGTTCTTCAGACCAGCGTCTCCTCTAATGTGACTCTAATGCCTTTTACAAAGTCAACAAAAAGAAGGTTAGTGCTTTGGCACGGTGCACGAAACATGACTGCTGTGTCCATATTTCTTCTTGTTTTGGTTCCAAACCAAACTTTTACTTTTTTTTTTTTTTAAAGCCGCAGTTTCTCGTCTTTGCAAAGCAGGAAGTTCAAACACAAACAAACCTGGCTCCCCCAATTGCATAGCGACCTGGAAACCGTTTGACATTTGAATAATTTCTAATTTCTTTGCTTTCAGTCGTGGTGAATTCGTCATCCTGGCAGGTTCTGAAAGGAAAAGCTTTATGACATGGCAAATTATGCACTTATGTCCATTCACACTGGGAGTTAATCCACCTGATGACTCAGTAGCTGTCTTTGTTTAGATTTTTTCTATCGTACACTTTCCTCAGGTTGTTCTGCGGTTTGCTTTTTCCTCTTCAGAAGCTGTGCGAGGAAGACGAGGTCGTTTCTGTCACCGCTTCGCCTTTTAAGAACGTCCGCCCTGGATGAAACGTGAGCCGTTGAAGACTGCAGCTGTAACGTCCTCTGGCAGAGTCTCAGGCGCAGGCACCCATGATGTCTCTGTGAGTGTCCCCGTCTTCACTCCAGTGAACAAAATGTAATGACAATAATCATTATAACTCTGATTTAGAAATTCTTCCAGTAGTTTAAGATAACAGAGATGAAGACGTCTGGTAGCACCTGTTGTCCTAATAATGTCTGTCGATGGTTTGATTACATTTAAACACCTCCGGTGAAGCGAGAGATATGTTCAACCACCTTCATGGGAATGAAAAATATGTCATGGACGTCACATCATTTTCCTGAGCAGATCTTATCAGATGCACTTTTACACGCACCTCTCAAAGTGGACCGTCTGGAATCCTGCAGCGTGCCCTCTCGATAAGCAGAAACAGAAAGATGATGAGAGCTGGCATGCGAGGTTTGTTTGTGTTTTTTCACAAGACAGAGAAAATGTAATTCCAGACTGCACACACGCAGCATGCTTCAACTGTAAATCTGAGTCAATCGTATCCAGACACACGGAGATTTCAAAGACTTGTCATCGTCTGGGTTGAGAGGGGACAGAGCTGTCCGATCGCCGCCGCCAGATACAGATGTGGTCAGACGGTCGGAGAGCCAGCCGCGTAAACAACAAGAGCTGGAGGTGAAAGCAGGAAGTCGTAAACGGTCACGAGGGATGTATCACGTTTCCTCTCGGTCAGGAAAACGCTGTGATGTAATCACAGCATCAACATCTGCGTAAACAGATACTGATGACTCCTCATTCTCTCAGCGACACATCGGTCGTTCTTTCAGGTTCTGAATAAAAGTTAATATTTTGACGCACCAGATTTCCCCAGTTCCAAGATATTGTTCCTCCTACTTTCTCGCCATACCTGGATCCACGTTTGTGCAGATCTGCACCAATCCTTCCACCAAGTTTAGTGGAAACCTCTTCTGTATTTTTTTTTTTCCATCATCCTGCTGAAAAAGAAACCAACCAACAAATAAACAAACATACATAACCTCCTCTGTGGAGTCCATAATGTAAATATATGAATATTTATTCCAGGACACAAGAAAACAACAGCAGCAAATGTAACTTCAGAATATATGAGCTGCAACTTAACGATGTGAGACTGAGAATGATTCCAGCACATGTGTGACTCAATAACACACAAACAATTCAACACATATTAACACATGCTCAATTGACTTTTAGAGAGGAGCAATTATCTAACGTTACATAAACATGCTTTAGATTTGTAAAGTGTGGCATATAATTATCCAATTAGTTTTATATACAAATGCAGGAATGTAGGGATGGTAAGTGGTTAGAGGGTCTATCCATCAAACGGTGTGAGCCACCAGACAGAACAGCTGCTGCAGCCTGCGACATCCCTGCAGTGTCATCTGCAACCCAACGTTCTTAAACCTTTCTATTCCAGGAAAATGTAGATTTAATTGTTTTTTTTAAAGTGGAATAGTCGTCCTGTCATTTTTTTGTTTTGTTATGAAAACAAATGCCTCACCAATCCATTCCACACGCTCAGATTCAGCGAAGTGCCTGCACCACAGAGGGAGAAAGGAGGAGAGAGGGATACTGACCAGGACATAAATAAATCAGCACTGAGGGGGTCCACGTTGTTGAGCAGAGACGA